TGCTTTTTGCATGTGGTAAATAACAATACATCTAATTGAATAGATTGATTCTTTTTTTATTTAAAGGGTCATGAGCAAGATGCACTGAAACTGATGTCCACTTATCTACCAAAAGATGGCAGTGGAGGGAGTGCTTACCAGGAGGGAGGAGGCTTGTTTGCGCTGGGTAATGGTTGTTAGATAGATAATAGAGTACCTTTGATGCATTTTCTTAAAACACAAGCCAACGAGTAATAAACAAAGTCAGGGGAAAAAGTCAAATGTGACAAGAAGTCAGCAAGTGCTTAAATCAGTTACAAGTATTTGTAAGCTGTATGCCCTCAAGCCATTGGAAATGAAAATAGAAAGTACACAACTGAGAAAAATAGGAAGGAAAAAAGATACTATTTTTCTTGACATAAGCATACTAAGGTCTCCTTTCAGAATTGAGTCCAAGACTTTTGGATTTTTACACTCTGGTGTTCTTCTTTCTTTGCTATGCATTTCACTTCTAAATTTAAGTACTCAAGTGCTTGTCATTGGTTAGTTTTGCATCTGATTGGTTGAAAGTGGATAAAAATAAATGGGAGAGGATAGCGATGCAATCCCATATTTCAATTTTCCAAGGGCTAAACTTGAGGAGGTTGGATATGCACGTAAAGTTCATTTAAATGTAATGACATTTTCTTATTTCTTATTTCTTGATTTGGTTACAGGCTTGATTCATGCTAACCATGGTGGCAAGATTATTGAGTATCTTTTACAGCAACTGAAGAATGCAACAACAGATGTAAGATTTTACTCCTTAAATAAGAATGGTTATAACTTCATTGAAAACAAGCGTACGTGTTATTCATTGCTTGGCAATTTTTATTACCTACTTTGTTGTGTATACCTTGCAATGCAAAGTGTGCACATGCATGTTTGTATGTGTGATGTCTGTCTCAGATTTAAAGTGATTGAACAGACACAAGTGTAAATTGCAAGCTTAATGTATTTTAAAGGGCTTCAAGTCTTGAATAAGTTTAAAAAGGGCAGGCAAACAGAAAAAACAGTGGAAAGCTAAATGACTATGAATTCTTGATATTTGACACGAGGCAGTAATTCTCCTTCTGCACTCAAATTCATTGGAGATGTAAAATGTACTTGTATTTTTCTTTCAGATGGTGAGGCATGGAGGCTGCCTTGGACTTGGACTGGCAGCCATGGGCTCTGCAAGACAAGGTATGTCACTAAGAAGGTATTTCTAACATGCAGTGTTTTCAGCGCGGCAGCAAAATTTTTTCATAAAGCTGGTCGATAATTGATTCAGAAATAATGAAAGAAGGAGTATGGCGTAAATGTCCAGTTCTGTTGTACCTGTGGGGGTGGTGGCCGATCAGCAGATACTGTAGCCCTTTTCAGTAGTACTCCTACATGCAAGTACGTGTATTTCCCAACTGTCGCTCTCACACTCTCCTTGAGAAAGTTTTTGTTTGTCTCGTAATTTAGATGTCTATGAGCAGTTGAAAACACAGCTTTGGGAGGATGATGCCGTGACAGGTTAGTAGTTCTTTGATAGCTCAAGTATATCCTTCAGTTATTATGAATTTTTCTGGTGTAGGCGTGGCTCAACTAATGGAATTTTGACAGAGCTCTATCCAGTAGAATGTGCTATATACGCAACAGTAACATCCACACCTGATACTCCATTAAAAAATTCTTCCACTCTTCGAGAGAAGATTAGCCAATAAAAGTCTTCATATTCATGCGTGACTCAAAGGTTTTGACTTAAGGAATTGTTGGTACTTTGACCAAACACTTGAAGAGATGCTGAGCATTTGGCGATTTCTCCTCGAGAAGGTGCAGTACACTTGATTGCAGTTAGCAGAGTTCAGTTTACCGTTATTTTTTATGTTACAGGCGAAGCTTGTGGTCTTGCCATGGGTCTTGTGATGCTTGGATCAAAATCTGCCACAGCTATCGAGGAGATGGTTGGGGTACGTTCGTTTCTGTTTTAAAAAGCCATCCCCCCCC